GTTGCAGAATGTAGGTTCAAGGGTCAATGTTACTAAGCCAAGGGAATATCGCAGGAGATGGACTGCACCTGGATTGTGAGGTGAGAGACCCTGAAGGGGTAGAATATAGAGAAAGAGCAAATTAGTCAATATGGCGGTGGTCAGGCCCTCTTGCCCCCATGTCCTCTTGCTCTTACCCCACATTTTGTGAATAATGACTTTGCATGGTTATGCAACATCTGAGATCATTTGTAGCACTGTACATGTGCATCATGACCTATATAAGCACCACCTGAAAAGCCCTTGTAGCTGTGCCTGCTGGGTGCACCATGAGAGAATACAGCATGTCTTGCTACTGTGCCATCCTGGGGAGAATAAACATGTCTGCAGTTCCTATGCCTCCTCCAGTTCCCTTCGAGCTTCCCCACTCATGCTTTACCTACCCTGAGTTCAGTGAACAGCAAGACAGGGGTTATGCCTTCAAAAACAAAAATTACCAAAAAACTGTTTACTGTGACTTCCCCAGCAGTCCAGTGGTTGAGACTTCATGCTTCAGTAGCAGGGGGCACAGGTTTGATTCCAGGTCAGGAACTGAGATCTCGCAAGCCTCAAGACATGACACACACACGCCCCCCCCCCCAAAAAAAAAAAAAAGCTTACACAAAGTGATGGCTAACTGAGTAGAGAATTGAGCATAGGAGAGTCCTGGGATAATCAGTGTGTTATAGTCTGAGCCCCAAGGATCATGTTATACATCTTTTAAAAAAAAATATTTATTTGGCTGCTTGAGACTCTCTAGTTAAGATGTGCAGGCTTAGTTTCTCAGTGGCATGTATCAATAAATCTATTTTTTTTTTGGAAGGTATTTCAAAGAGTCAGTGTTCTATAAAACAGATGATTCACTCTCTAATCATATGGCTTGTCCAGGAAATAAAAAGGGGGAACTTTTTTTAACTGAAACTGCCAAATGCATTGTGAGGCTCTGATTTAGACAGACTAGCTATAAAAAGAGAAATCTGGATTTGGATTGGATATTAGATGTTATGAAGTTGTTTATAATTTTATTATGTGTAGTAATATAGTGATTGTATTTCATAGTCCCTTATCAGTTGGAAATACGTACTACACATACTGGAATATTTACAGTAAGATGATTTTGTGTCTGGAATATGCTTTTAAAAACTATATTAGTTTGCTATTAACAAATCACTGTAAACTGGGTGGCCTAGAACAACAGAAGTTTATTGTCTTCACAATTCTTGAGGATAGAAATCCAAAATTAGGATATTTTCAGCATTGGTTCCTCCTGAGGTTTATGAAGGAGAATCTGTTCCACCCTTCTATCTTCTGGAAACCTTGGGCATTCTTGGCTTGTAGATGGCATTCTCCTCGTCTCTTCATATTGTCTTCCCTCTGCATATCTGTCTCTGTGTTCAAGTTTCCCCTTTATTAAGGTACTAGTCCTATTGGATTAGGGCTCCTCTAATGATCTAACCTTAACATGATCATCTACAGACATCATACTTCCAATTAAGATCATATTCACAGGTATTGTGGGTTATCTTTTGGGGGGGACACAATTTAACCCATAGTAAATACTGCAGCAAAAAGTTTTTAAAGATTAGAAAATGTTAATAATTGAAACTCTTTGGGCACATGGGAATTTATTATGTTTTTCTCTTTATTTTGTGTGTGTTTGAAAATTTCCATAATTAAACTTTAAGAAATGTGTGTATGAAACAGATTAAATTGATATTTGTACACATGTTCATAGCAGCATCATTCACAATAACCAAAAGGTGGAAGCAATTCAAGTATCCATAGACAGGTGACTAGGTAAAGAAAATGTGGTACACATATACAATGAAATATTATTCAGAGTTCAAAAGGAAGGAAATTTTGACACATGCTTCAACATTAACTGTAAAGATATTATGCTAATGAAATAAACCAGTCACAAGAAGAACAAATGTATAATTCTTCTTATATGAGGTTCCTAGACTAGCCAGAATCATAAAGACAAAACAGAATGGTGGTTACAAGGGGCTAGGAGGAAGAAGAGAATGGGGAGTTAGTGTTTAATGGATTCAGAGTTTCAATTGCAGAAGATGTAAAAGTATTGGAGATGGATGTTGGTGACAATTGTACTACAAAGTGAATGTAATTAATCCCACAGAACTATATACTTGAAAATGGTTAAAATAGTAAATTGTACAAACCAGCTAAAGACTTTCTTGAAGATACTTTAAAAGCCATTGATCTTTGCAGTTAAACAGTAAATACTTATCAAAATAAGTCTATAAAAATAATCCTGATGGCTTATATTGTCCTAGGTAAGTTATAACTATTTCTACATGTCTTATCATTTCTATTACTGATTTCTTTATTTTGTACAAATCAAAAACATCTTCCTGGCCCAGAGCAATCAACCAGTTACCCAGATTTACTGGTGCCTGTTTGAGGTTTTTTGGTTTTGTTTATTTTGTTTTATTTTAAAATATCAGTTCTTATTTTTAATCCCATTTAAAAATAATTAAATGGGGAAAAATAAAATAAGAAAACAACCTTTTGTGCAACTTAAATGGCATTAAATCCTGGTCCCAAAATTTGTATTCAATACAAATTTCATGTGAAAGAAAAAAAATCTCTGAATTGCCCATCTCTGTTCCTTTATTGTATTTCAAGTTTGTAGCTAAATCTCTCGCATTGAGTGTACCAACTAAATTTTTGGAAATTTTTTTTAATGGAAGAATTTTTTGTTTTACCTACTTTATATACTGAGAGTAAAAAGCTGAAAAAAATTAATAAACTGTAAAATGCTTTATGAATGTTATTGCCATTTGAGCTAGGGATTGGTAACAATTTAGAAGGTGATTACTCAAACTTTAAGTTATTCTTTCCCCAGGTGTATGATACAAGTTGACTTTAGCTATAAATATGAGATATATATCTATTTCATAAGGTAGTTGCAAGGAGGGAATAATTTAAGTAGAATATGTTGAATGAGTCAAGGAATTCACAAACCAAGGAACTGAACAAGGGAGTTCAGCTTTCCAAATTGCTTAGATCAAGGGGAGAATTATCATAATGTGAACTTCAAATCAAACCTGGGCACCACAAGGTAAGTAACCGTATTTGCAAAATTCTGTTTCCTGAAGAATTTCTTGGAACTCAAGAATTTCAGGAAGTGAGAATTGGGATGTAACTTTCTTCTTCATCCTCATTGTATACAGTAATTGGCTTTTGGGGTGTGTGTGTGTTATAGATGTAAGATCTGAAATCCGACTTTTCTCTTGCTCTTTTGGAAGCATTTTTCCCCCCTTCTTCCCAAAAGAGTGGAAGCCCAGGGTGGTGTGTGTGTGTTGTTGCTCAGTTGTGTATGACTCTTTGTGACCTCATGGACCCTGTGGACTGTAGCCCACCAGATTCCTGTCCATGGGATTTTCTTGGCCAGAATACTGGAGTGAGTTGCCATGTCCTCTTTCAGGGGATCTTCCCCACCCAGGGATCGAATCTGTGTGCCCTATGTCTCCTGCGTTGCAGGCAGATTCTTTACCACTGTGCCACCTGGAAAATTACTTCTAAGGTATCTAGATCCTATGAGAATAATTTTCATTCAACTATAAGCAGTCAAAGGAGAGTAACAGAGAGTAGAAGATAATAACCAGGCAGCTACAATTGGAACTGCCATTCTTCCACCCTACTCTTCCCCTCCTTTCCTTCAGCTATCTTTTATTTTATTAAATAAAATGACTTTGAACATGAAACATGGCATTTCTTCAGGCTGAAACCAAAGTTAGTAGACTAAGTAGGAGCTAGTGCATGTTAAGTCTCTGAATTGTGTCCAACTCTGTGCGACTCCATGGATTCTAGCCTGCCAGTCTCTGTCCATGGGACTTTCCAGGCAAGACTGCTGGAGTGGGTTGCCATTCCTTCTCCAGGGGATCTTCCTGACCCAGGGATCAAACCCACGTCTCTTGCATTGGCAGACAGATTCTTTACCACTGAGCCACCAGGGAAGCCAATAAATAGCAACTAAGCAAATGCCTTAATTTGACCTAATTTATTTGTGTTTGTCTGTTCAGCCACTATGAAACATTCATTCTGTGTGAGATCCAATGCTCAGTACTAAGACTATAAAAATAGATATTGGAACTTTCCTGGTAGTTCAATGGTTAAGAATCCACCTTGCAATGCAGGGGATGCAAGTTCAACCCCTAGTCAGAAAACAAAGACCCCACATACCAGGGAGCAGTCAAGCCCATGCACCACAGCTGCTGAGCCTGCATAGAGCAGCCTGCGTGGACACAATTCAGGAGTTCGTGCATCACAACAAAAACTCTGTGTGCTACAGCTAAGACCCAAGACAGCCAAATAAATACTTAAAAAATAAATAAATCTCTGCCCTCAGATAACTTTTAGTGGGAAAGAGCACAAGTAAGTAGGCTGTTACATTGCTCTGTGCTAAGTTTTCTGGTAGAAGTGGGCACCAAGTGTTGTAGGAACACAAACTTGGGTCCTCAGGGAAGACTTCCTGAAGAAAGTCAACCTGAGGAAACTCCTGGTGAATAATTAAGAGTAGGGAGTTAAGGAGTATTCATAAAATTTTACTTCATCTTCTATGAACATGGAGTAATATATGTCAAATACTAAAGGAAAGCATGGTTTAAGTATGGCCTGCAGGAAGTGAGGCAGTTGAAGTAGAAGCAAGAAAAAGTTAGTTACAAGAATTGTGGGTAGGAGTTTGTAGTAAAATAGAAGATGACTTGTCAATGACTTGGTGGCTTACCAGTTTTGGATTCATGTCTTTGGAAGCCTGAAGACCTCAGAAAGTGTGAAATAGGGCTTCCATAAAGAGACAGCCTTTTCTGTGGTAACATCAGAGCCGATAATCACCTTCTTGGTCTCTCCAGAGTGAGGTGTAGGTAGCATGACTCTGACCCTCAGAAACTTACTAATGCATACTACCTAATAATAGAGTGGAACTCATGTGACCCTCTTCTCTCTCATTCTTTTTGCAGGCACCCAAGAATACGTTTCCACACAGGCCTTGTAGATGCCCACCTCTACTGCTTGAAAAAATACGTTGTGGACTTCCTAATGGAAAATAAGTAAGAAGGAGGGAGATTGAGTCAAATTCACAGCACTTAAGCTACCCTGTGACTTAGTTAACAGTTTTAAACCTTGATAATAAACCAGTTATGTAAATAACTAGTTTGTATAGATAACATAGTTTATTATAGAAATGAAGTTATGTTATCAGCATACTGTTATTTCATCTGTACCAGCTTATATTTAGGGGGCCTGTGCTATGATAACCGGCAAATTACTTTTATAAAACTAATATTCACTTATGAAGCATCTTTCTACACAGCTTCAGGCTCTTCCTTCTTTCTGCAAGGCTGAGCTCCCCAGCTGTAGTGCTATTTGTCTCCAAGAGGTTGTCCTTTCCCTGGGCAATTGTCCCATAGATGGGCCCTCTTAGCAAAGGGCCAGACACTTACCCAAGAGAAGGAAAGAAAGAAGAGCAAGTTTTCCTCCAGTTTTGGAAAAGAAGTCCACCTCACTGAGTGAAGTTTCATGAATTTCATGAGTTCATGAAAATCATGAGTTAAGAAATGTGGTACTTTTGTAGTTTTGCTTTGATAATAGAACTGTGGGCCTTAAATACTCGCCAGAGCTTTTCATGAACATGGCACCGAAGGCGAAGAAGGAAGCCCCTGCCCCTCCTAAAGCTGAAGCCAAAGCAAAGGCTTTGAAGGCCAAGAAAGCAGTGTTGAAAGGTGTCCACAGCCACAAGAAAAAGAAGATCCAGATGTCACCCACTTTCCAGCGGCCCAAAACACTGCGGCTCAGGAGGCAGCCCAAATATCCTTGGAAGAGCACCCCAGGAGAAACAAACTTGACCACTATGCCATCATCAAATTCCCCTTCACCACCAAGTCAGCCATGAAGAAAATAGAAGACAACAACACACTGGTATTCATTGTGGATGTCGAGGCCAACAAGCACCAAATTAAACAGGCTGTGAAGAAGCTCTGTGACGTTGACGTGGCTAAGGTCAATACTCTGATCAGGCCTGATGGGGAGAAGAAGGCATATGTTCGACTGGCTCCTGACTATGATGCTTTGGATGTTGCCAGCAAAATTGGGATCATCTAAACTGAGTCCAGCTGGCTAATTCCAAATATAAAAGTTTTCACTATGTAAAAAAAAAAAAAATACTCGCCAGAGACTGTCTGGCAGATCACAGGATGTGGGTGGGTTTCCAGAGAGAAAACTTCCATTTGTGGTTGCTCTCAAGGATTTTTTTCATACATAATTTAATTAATTAATTAATTAAATTTTTTTTACTGTGGTGGATCTTCTTTGCCACACAGGCTTTCTGCAGTTGCAGAGAGTGGGGTCTGCTCTCTAGTTGTGATGTGCAGGCTTCTCATTGCAGCGGCTTCTCTTGTGGAGCACAGGCTCCAGCGTGAACAAGCTTCGGTGGTTGTGGGGTACTGGCTTCTCATTGCAGCGGCTTCTCTTGTGGAGCACAGGCTCCAGCGTGAACAAGCTTCGGTGGTTGTGGGGTACTGGCTTCTCATTGCAGTGGCTTCTCTTGTGGAGCACAGGCTCCAGCGTGAACAAGCTTCGGTGGTTGTGGGGTACTGGCTTCTCATTGCAGTGGCTTCTCTTGTGGAGCACAGGCTCCAGCGTGAACAAGCCTCGGTGGTTGTGGGGTACTGGCTGTAGAGCACAGGCTCAGTAGTTGTGGCGCGTGGGCTTAGTTGGTCCGCTGCCTGTGGGGTCTTCCCAGATCAGGAATGGAACCCGTGTCTCCTGCATTGGCAGGTGGATTTTTTACCCACTGAGCCACCATGAAAGCCTAATCTCAAGGATTTTGATAGGCAGTGCAACTAGAGTCCTCAGAAGAACAGGTAGGAAAAGATTTAGTAACTGTCTGGTTAAGAAGATGAACAGCTAGTCTTCCTTGATGGCTTCTGGATAAGTTTCTACCTTACATAGTACTGGTAACTGGAAAGCAGTCAGGCTGCTACGACAGCAATAAGTTCCCTCAGACGAGCTGGGGAAGGGAGTCTGAGAACCTGAGTTTAAGTGCTAAGCATGCTGTTGACTGGTGGACTTGGATATATACAAGAATATTGAGGGGAATGGAAATTGTCCCTCCATGCCCAATATAATATTTTTTTGCAGCATCCTAACCCTTACCACCTATAACTCCTGCTAACCCACTACAGAAACCCCATGTAGAGCCAGTGGTAAAATAAATTATTTGGGCTCCTAGAAAGCTTTCCCAGGTATTGTTGTTTCTCTGTTTTCTCTCACCAGGACAGTATTGGCCTGCTCCCTTTTGACTTATTATTCTGTTTTTTCATTCAGTCAGCACATATTTATTAAGCTCCTGTTACGAGGCAGGCATTGTGCTAAATCAGCTGTGAGATCCATGGTGAATAAGCAGATAGGGGCTCTGCCCTCACAGATTAAAGTTATCAGGACCCATTTTCCAATTACCAGTGTCTGGGCTATCCATGTTTTAAAAGTGAAGCTAATTCTTTGCCATGAAAGTGTTTATTTTTTTTAATCCCAAGTGAAAATGAATCACTGTCAAATAGGTCCTGGCCTTGACATGCTGAGAGAGGATACAGTAATGGTAGAGACCTTTTTTTTTTTTTTAATTATTTCCTATGGAAAATTTCACATAGATACAAAAGTAGAGAAAGTGATACAGTTAACTCCCATGTACCCCTCATACAGCTTCAGTTCAGTTCAGTCATTCAGTCACGTCCACTTCTTTGCAACCCCATGGACTGCAGCACTCTAGTCTTCCCTGTCCATCACCAGCTCCCGGAGCTTGTTCAAACTCATTGTCCAAAGAAAAAAAAAACTCATGTCCATCGAGTTGGTGATGTCATCCAGCCATCTCGACCTCTGTCATCCCCTTCTCCTGCCTTTAATCTTCCCCAGCATCAGGGTCTTTTCAAATGAGTCAGTTCTTCACATCAGGTGGCCAAAGTATTGGAGCTTCAGCTTCAGCTTCAGCATCAGTCCTTCCAATGAATATTCAGTACTAATTTCCTTTAGGATTGACTGGTTTGATCACCTGGCAGTCCAAGGGACTCTCAAGAGTCTTCTCCAACACCACAGTTCAAAAGCATCAATTATTCGCCGCTCAGCTTTCTTTACAATCCAGCTCTCACATCCATACATGACTACTGGAAAAAATAGCTTTGACTAGAGAGACCTTTGTCAGCAAAGTGATGTCTCTGCTTTTTAATATGCTGTCTAGGTTGGTTACAGCTTTTCTTCCAAGAAGCAAGCATCTTTTAATTTCATGGCTGCAGTCACCATCTGCAGTGATTTTAGAGCACCCCAAAATAAAGTCTGTTCCATTGTTTCCCCATCTATTTGCCATGAAGCTGGGTTTTGAAAAGGTATAGGAACCAGCAATCAAATTGCCAACATCCATTGAATCATAGAAAAAGCAAGAGAGTTCCAGAAAAACGTCTACCTCTGCTTTTTTGACTACACCAAAGCCTTTGTGTGCCATGAAATGATGGGACCAGATGCCATGATCTTAGTTTTTTGAATGTTGGGTTTTGAGACAACTTTTTCACTCTCCTCTTTCACTTTCATCAAGAGGCTCTTTAGTTCTTCTTTGCTTTCTGCCATAAAGGTAGTGTCATCTGTGTATCTGAGGTTACTGATATTTCTCCCGGCAAGCTTGATTCCAGCTTGTGCTTCATCCAACCTGGCATTTCACATGATGTACTCTGCTCACATGATGTACTCTGCATATAAGTTAAATAAGCAGGGTGACAATATACAGCCTTGACTTACTCCTTTCCCAATTTGGAACCAGTCTGTTGTTCCATGTCTGGTTCTAACTGTTGCTTCTTGATCTACATACAGATTTCTCAGGAGGCAGGTAAGGTGGTCTGGCATTCCCATCTCTTTAAGAATTTTCCACAATTTGTTGTGATCCACAGAGTCAAAGGCTTTGGCGTAGTCAATAAAGCAGAAGTAGATGTTTTTCTGGAACTCTCTTGCTTCTTCTGTAATCCAACATATGTTGGCAATTTGACCTCTGGTTCCTCTGCTTTTTCAAAACCCAACTTGAACACCTGGAAGTTCACAGTTCACGTACTGTTGAAGCCTGGCTTGGAGAATTTTGAGCAAGCCCTCATACAACTTCAGTAGTCACCAGTTCATGGCTAATCTTAGTTTATATTTGCTACCACCAATCTTGCCACTGTCACACCAGGTTATTTTAAAGCTAATCATTATGATATAATTTCATCTGTAATGATTTCAGTTGTAATTATGTATAAATATTTCAGTATGTATCCCTAAACAATACCTCACTACTATTCTTGCACTTAAAAAAAAAAAAAAAATCTAAGAGCATTACCTTAATACTACCAAATGGGATTTTAGCTTTTGGTGTCTGAATATGCAATAGTTTTGCAACAAAGTCAGCCTCATCCTGGCTGCTGCAGCACCTTTGTAGCTCATTTGACCCCCACCAGTTAGCAGGTCCCCCACCTGGCAAGTGTAGTGTGGTGGTATATACCTGGAGGACAAGCCTCAATTTGGTGATTCTATGACTCCTGGCCAGAAGCTCCACCAAATGGGACTTTCCCAGAGCTTGTTGTAACAGAGGAGGATACAGAGCCTAGCTCAAACCACCTTCCCATCTCAAGGTCTTAAAGACCTTTATATCTTTCTTCTCCCCATCTACCCATTACCTCTCAGACTTGGTGAGATTAAAGGAGGCATTTATAGTAATCTGGTTATGAAAATGACTCCTTTAGAGATAGATAGGGAAAAGGAAACCTAGGAGAGAGATATAGCTTCAAAAAAGGACTGTTTTAGCAATCCTTTCTCTCACCTATGAAAATTAACATTCAGCCCTGTAAATTTTAATCTTCTATTAATACATATTAATGTCTTCCACGCAGATTCCTTGAGATTATAGATTCCTACCTGGATTGATAAGGCATTCGATATATGCTTGATGAATGGAAGGAAAGGAGATGTGACAGTTTGGACAGTAGAAGTAATTAGGTACATCAGTAGTTCAAGAAGACATGAGTATTTCTGCAGT